TGTGTGTGTGTGTGTTTCAGTTTGTAAGTAATACTAAAAAAAAATTAGAAATCTATGTTTGTGCGCACGATAATAATATTGTACGTCAGTGTTCCGTCGGCAGGCCGTTCAAACGCACCAAGCCCAGAAAACAAAAATTTTCAGGACAGAGTTTAAAACGAGTTTATTCTTTTAGCATATGCAGCTGTTAGATTCTACATTGTATACTTTTTCTTGAGGTTTTTTTTTTTTTCAACACTTAGAACAAAATATTTCTTGAGCAAATACAACCGACACCATAGGTTAAGAAACTGCGACTTTAAAAAATAATAGAATAATATTGGGCTTAGAACATCTGAACAGCGGGCCGACGTTAAGTTTGTTGCACATGCATACGTGCGTGCGTGCGTGCATGCTCGCTCACTCACAGAGGATAGTGCTGCAGACCGGCTGTGTTGTCCAGGTGCAATCTACTGAGCTGTAAAGGTGGTGCACCCCCTGCTGCGACGCGCGGGGACTCCCCTACGTATATGCTGCCCGGACGCCCGCCCGCGTACGTTTGGGCCCGGGCACTGTGGAAACCCTCTTGCTCTGGAACTCTGTATAATAAAGCAGTGAGTGCATAAATGAGTTCAAACTGTCGGCGGGTCGTCGGGAACGTCGAACTGAGTCGAATCGAATCGAATCGAATCGGGTTGGGGAGACCAACTCGCAAGAGCACAAACTATGTCAGCCAGACTTGATCTTTTATTTGCTTCGATGGTGATCTATGTGGTTGCTCTGGTGTAGTTTGCTTCATTTTCCCCTATCATTTACATGCCCTCCTTATCTGTCCTTCTTCTTTTCTTTGTATGCAACTCTCTTCTAACACACGTTGTCTTTTTGCCTTGTATGACCTATTTCTGTTGCAAGTGCCTTAAAACTCTTACTACAATTATAACTACTCTACTAAGTACGCTTTGTGCGTTAAAAAAAAGGAAATAAAAACCGAGTTATGCCCTTCATTTAGCCCACAATAAAAAGTGGCCCTCATCCGATAGACTTGTCTCTATCTGATTGAAACAAAAAAAAAAGAAGAATTATTAAGTTTAATATTTGATCACTAAATCCAAACTGGAGCAAAGTCGGAAAATCTGTGGCTGCCGTTTTGACTACCATGCATTATAGGGAAAAAATCGAATAATAGTGCACAGGTAAAAGACAGTCAAAAAGAAGACATACAAAGACACTTTATGAATTCCCTGTTTGCCAGGCTAGCAACAAAGAACGTGGTGGACTGGAATCCACAGGTTTAAGAGATCAGGGGGGAGCCAGGTGAAATTTTGAAGAAGAATTATACAGAAAGGTGTACAGAAACGTGGGAAGATATGGAATAATATCAAGATAGGGAAATGTGGAAAGTCATTGTTCGTGGCCTATAATCTAATGCAGGGTGAGTAAGGAATTGATAATGATGATGATGATGCGTTATCTTAGATAATATGAATATTAATTTAGAAACTTGAGATTGGTTTCACATTTGGCGTGATAATTATCAACTTGTGCGGTTCTTGTGTGAATGAGTTGAGTGACACAAAGAGAGAGATAAGGAGAGAGAGAGAGAGAGAGA